CATACTAAAGGAAATCAGTCCTGAATATTCACTGAAAGGACTGATGCTGAAGCTGAAACTCCAATACTTTGGCCACCTGATGTGAAGAACTGACTCATTGGAAAGGACCCTGATGCTAGCAAAGATTGAAGGCAGGAGGAGTAGGGGATGACAGAGGATGAAATGGTTGGATGGCATCACAGACTCAATGGGCATGAGTTTGAGTAAACTCTGGGAGTTGGCGATGGACAAGGAGGCCTGGCGTGCTGCAGTCCATGGGGTCGCAAAGAGTTGGAAACGACTGAGCAACTGAACTGCTGACTGAGAATAGGAAAATTAGGACCACACAGGCATAGTCTTTCCTTGATAGTAGTTTTTAAATGAAACTCTCTTTTAAGTTTATGATATAAAATATATAACTGCTTATTTTTAATATACATAAAACATAGCAAAAAACACCTTTTAAAAGTTCTTTTTAAATATTCTGCATCACAGTAAATTTTCCATCTCAAACCCACATTGCAGATTTCTTGCTTATATTTCTTTCAGCATTTGGAATAAAATGTGTTTTATCTTCTAATTCCTATAACAAGAAGTCAGAAACTAATGTTGGAAGGAAGTATTCAATTTCATTCTTTAGCAGTGCATGGATGGACTGTAATAATTCTCTAAAACATATTTATCAGTGTTCAATTCTATAGCTCACAGAGTTAATATTTTATTCCAGGATAAATATTTCACCCCAGGGGAAATATTTCATTATTTACATATTATACTTTATTTTTTATTTTTTCCCTGGAATATGAAATTTTAGAAATGCTGATTAGTTCACTGCAGAATTTCAAATAAATACATGGTAAAATAACTCCTTATGGAATTTAGATTTTTTTTTTCCTAAAGGAACGTATAAAATTATTTCAAGGCATTAAATTAAGTTTCCTTAGATGTTATATAAAATGACACTTGTACCATGATTTTCATACATATGAGATTTGATACTTTGATTCCAAAGCATTAGTTTTGGCTATGGTATATTAATAAAGTGCTTTGTAACTGAAAATAGATAAACAAACATAATTCTTATGCATAAGCCAATATCCAACAAGATACAACTAATCCTGAAAAATTAGATGCCTATCACTCACTCCAAAAAAAGTGAAATACATTTTAACCACAGAATATTATATTTTGTCCATCAGGTAGCCCAATGTCTTTGTTTTCAAGATGTTTAGTGACCTCCTCAAACTTATATAACTCATTTGTGCCAGAGTCAGAATAAGACCTCTAGGTTTAATTCACTTTGGCCTTTTACTATTCCATTCTCAAACTATTTAGCACAGAATTATAAAAAAATTTAAATGACCTATTGGGTAAGAGAACCTTATATAAGATACCTACAATGAAGGAAGTGATTACAATGCTATATACTAATATTCATCTAAGATAGCAAAGCAATGGCATTTACCTTAAATTTACGTCTCTGCTCTGCACAGCTGTTGAAGAACCACAAGTCTGTCTCATGGCTGTAAATGTAACAAGAACAATAATGCGACCAATTTTCATACCTAAACTAAATTAATTAGATTTGTCATAGGCTAGAAAATTGATAATGTATTTCACAAAAACTTTTTAAGTTACAGATTATGGAAGTGTGCATGTGTGTTTATGCAGATGTGTTTGTGTGTGTGTGTGCATTTACTGTTTTTGATAATCTGGAAATTAGTTTTATGAAATTGAAACTATTACATATTATTCTTTGGCTAACTTTTCTCATTATGGAACACCATGAGTACATCAGGTCTAAAAGTATAAGGAGTAGATATAGGTAAATAAAACAAATGAGAGGCTATCTTCAGCTGTTATTATTAGATTATGTTTTTTTGGGATACATAATAAGAACATAAAGAAGAAACATCTGGTAATTCTTAGGTTAATATCAGCTCCCATTTGCATCACAATCTTTATATATTATTCATCAATATGTCATTTACCAATGTACCTACTGATTGCACCTATTCAATTGGTGTTTCATGTAATGAATATAATATGCAAACATGTTTCAAACACATATATTCAGATATCTATACATGAAAGTGAAATCGCTACTATGATCAGTACTCAAGCTTGTCAGATACGATTTTCTTCTTTCCATTTTGCATTAGATATGCTAATATCTATGCCATGTGTAGCACAAAAACCTGAAAAAGTGTAAATGAAAAAGGAATAGTAGATAAATACTAGTCTGCTAGAAATATTTTCTCTGCCATGTCACACTTCAAATCTGGCTACCACTTTTAAACATTTAAAAGAAATTCAGTTGAATATAACAAAGCAACCAAATATTGTTCTTGTGACTTGAGCCATTAAAACAGATTCTGTAAAAAAAATCTGTCCTTTCTTTCAAATGGTATAAAATCATTCTCCATCAAAACTATGTTTTAAAATAAAAACCACATATCTCTTTTGGTCTTCTAAAAATATGTTATGCCTGATAAAGTACAAGCCACCACCATCTATTATTAACACCAAATAGTTTGCCTTGAAGTACAGATTTTGAAACACATTAAATTATCTTTTTTTTAATCCTAAAAGATAATCTACACTAACTCTCTTATGAAAGCTTGGTTAAACTCTTAGCTAAGTAGAAAAAGAAGTAGGCTGTGAGAGAATCATGGAATATTACTTTCATATTAAATAGTTAAAATTTTTAACAGAAACATTTTACCCTTTAACATTAGTGGAAAATAGTGCAATTCACATTAAATAGTATTTGTAGATGCAAAGATAAGCATTACCTTACATCTCCTTTTGACAAATGTGTAAGCTAGTATAAAATGCTATCAGATTTTTATTAGACTTTTAATACAGTCCCAGCATGTTTCCAGTTGCTAAGCTTATCAAGTACTACAAAATAATAGAATTGTAGACTCATATTAATTGCAGTGCTTATTTTGGTGAAAAAATACATTTTCATTCATTATTTATAAATTTTTATTCATAAAAACCAACTAAATCTTCAGTCATCACATTCTGGCATGAGATCCCACTAAAATTACAAAGCAATAATAAAATGCTACAGTTTTATAATATGTACAATGCATATGTATTCTAAATAATATGAATCACAAAATATTAAATATAAGTGACACAATGAAAGTTTGTGGAGATGATTAGCAACTGAAATTGTTAAAAGGTATTTATAATACTGTTAGTCACCCTTTGGTGATAATAAAATTGAAGAGCTCTGCTCAAAATTTTATTTAAACAAATTTGGTACATGACCAACATTTTCTTATTTGACTCATTAATATTTCCACATTATATGTGTGCATGTATTTTCCAAGAAAAAAAAAAGTATATTTTAGTTAAATAAAGTTGCACATTTTGCCTTCCAACACAAGAAAAAAAGAAAGCAGAAAAACTAAAGCCCAGCCATTCTTTCCAAAGATACCGTGGTAACCAACAATAAAGAAACTTCTACTGGACTTAGCTTTGGAGAGTAACAACTTAGTATTTTGTCTGTTTTGTCAAGGGCTATGATAAAAATAGAATTAGGGCAATATGTAGCGTTTTTCAGATATCTAAAACAATAATCTTTTCTACCTTTGGTTTTTCTGCCAGTGTCTAAATTTCCTTTGCTATACCAACAAGAAAGCAAAAATCTCAGTCTGAAGCCATAGTGAGGATAAGCATTTCATTTGCTATCTTCTGTGACTTCATGTGAATTTCTCATGAAACCAGATAACTTGATGGAAATACTTCAAAAACCGTAATTACTAGGGGAGGCATATGATAGTGAGGAAAGTTTGTCACTACAGAATTACTAGTTAAAAAGAATGTGAAATCCATTTTACAAGAGAAAAAAGTTAAAATGAATCTTAAACTTAGGCTGACTTAGTATAAATTTGATTTGCAATCATGGCAGACATTGATACATCATATCCACCTATCCCCAAGACCCCCTTCTTCCCACCCACATCCCCAAAATGGGTTTGTTCCCAAAAATATATACTCATCTCACATTTGCCTAGGGACTATGCATTTAATTCAAATTTAGGTAATAAGTAGCTTTTGGACTATGTAGATCAATAGCCAATAATTCTGTCACACAAACAAAGATTCAGTAGGGTACCATATGAGAATTAGTTACTAGCATCTGGAAGTATACCTGGAAAATGAAAACTGATAGCTAGGCCATAAATTTTCTTTCAAGATTATTTTGTTAAAATAAAGCAATAAGAATGATGTTGACTTTAAAAAAAAAACAACTTATTAGACATGATTCAAAAAAAGCATTGCTTATCTTTCAACAGAACTGATAAACATTTTGAATAATGTTTTATGCAATTCCAGAGTCTACCTTCCAAATATTTCAAAAATATACTCTAAAAATGTTTCTTCCCCCTAATGTCCTATACATTTTGGTTAAGGCTATATAAAACAATGGTTATATTATGTTGCAAAAAGTTACTTTAAAAGACATACATACTATCAGTTTCATAGGACAAACACAGTGAATAAGGACAATGTGTTTTTCTAACTGTAGCAACAGCAGTAACTCCTTGGCAAACTCAAAACAGCTTTTCTGGCAACCCTGGAGGTTTTCTGTATTTGTCACTTGAATACAACTGCAGAAGGGTTATCTCAAGACTACTTTGTTTCCTTCCCTACCATTTTACTTTGACTTTGTTTTTAAGGAAGAAATTTCACACTTAACCTGTTTGTGAATAAAATTTCATTAGAAAGCTTTACACAAAACTCTTAAAGCCTATGTATCCTAAATGTTTTCTCTACATAATTAGTCCACTAAGTGACCTTGTGAACATCTGAAATTTAAGCTAGTAGAATATTATTCTTTTCTATTTCAAGACGACTACATGAGCTCTCTTTTTGAATTAAAATTACTTACATATGCAAATATAATAATTTTATGTATGTAGACAACCGGATCTGCGTATCTATTATCATTAGAGACATCCTTTAGAGTAAGACCTCCAGGACAGGAGGGCAGCCTTACTAAC